CAGCAGATCTCTGCCACTTCCTCCTGCCCCAGTACAGGCAGGGGAAGGTGTCAAGTGAGCGTCCTTGAACCTGCTACGTTGCTAGCTCAAATCAGCTTGTGCTGGCCTTGTTCTTTCTTCCGAACTCATTTGGCAGTGGACTGCATGTCCAGTTTAAACTAGAAAGGTGGGAGAATCAGGTCTTAACTGTTTCTTAAGGACGCTAATGGTTACTGCAGTGAATTTCATATTAACAGAAAATTTCAGTATAGCTTTCAAAAAAACACACGACAAATTTTCTCTCAGAGAAGGAAATAAGATTGAGGCAAATACAAGAAACATGTCCCTGCTTGCCAAATCTCCTAAGAGTTCTCTTTTTAGCAAAGTCATCAGAAAACGCTTCAGTAGTATCGAAGGAAGGGGACTACGATGAATACAAATTCCCAGTTGAGTCATGAGATCTAATATTAAACAAGTTGAAGGCTGAAAGGCACAGAAAGGTCTTACTTCCAGGCACTGACACTAGATGGAGTAAAATTGAATAGAAGATTCAAGAGCAGTGAAGAAAAGAAAGGAAGAAAAGAAAGAAAGAAAGAAAAGTTCCTGTATTTTGCCAGCTCCTAACCTGATGATGTTGTGAATGTTCATTTTTGATTACTGCTCCTAAAGTCATAATTAATGTCTCACTCTCTATACTTTGCAGGTCAAATATGGGATCAAGTCAGAACAGGTATGTTCCAGAGAAAGGGTGAGTCTGGTGGAGCAGGAAGGGTGGAGTGACAGTAGGAGGTAGACACACAGAGTTGGAGAGTATTTGCAAAACCACATTGACCAGAATAACACAGAGAGGCAAACAGAAAATTCGCCCAGCAATAAGGGCTGTGGGGTTACCCGAGTTCCTAACAGGGTAGGTGCCCAGAGCACCCAGATCTGCCTGCAGCTATGCCACAGACACTCCACATGGCCTGAGGTAAGTCATTTAATAGCCTTGTCCTCCTGATTCCCAGCTGTAAACCTGGAATAAGGTAACTTAAGGCCCAGGCATATTGCAAGGCTCTCTGCTTTATGGCTTGGCTGTACTGCAAGGCCACTACCCCCACATTAGTGGCTGCTCCAAGGAGTAACCTTGCAGCCACGGGATGGATCGAGGAGCTGCTGAGCTGCTCCCTCCCTGTGTGTCAGGGCGATACCAGGGGAGCAGAGGAAACGGTGATGCGTCCTGAGTCTGTAACACTGCTGTAGGATACAAAGACCCCTCTAGAGGTGTTTCTCTCCACTGATTACTGAGGAATCCTAGATAAAATCTAGGAATCTACATTTTAGACAGCTAAGTTCGAAGAGACGAATCCCTTCGTACTTCTAAAGCATTCTAGAAACGTTAACTAACCTTCACAATCTTCAGAGGAAAGCAGATCAGCTAGTACTGTCACCTGCTGGCTACTGGAGAAAAGGAAACCCAGAGGCAAAACCATACAGCAAAGCCACACATCGAGGCAGCTTCAAAGAGGCGGTCAGGCCACATGACTTCCCATTTTCTGCCTCTGCACTGTAAGCAGTCCTCCGAGCAGGATGCTGCCTTAAAACGCACTCACTGCTCACTGCAGGTGGATTCCTACATGGTAGTGAAGAGGGCAGCTGGAAGTCACCACAGCCAGAATCATACTTTTGTTCTGTTAGTTCACTTAGGAAAAACAAATACTCCAAAGATACAAAGAAACATGTAGGAAAAAAAGTTAAGCAAAAGGAACTTCATGAACGTAACTACAGCAGCTCCAATAACAATTTTGTAGATTCCCTGTGATTTTTATCTCTCTGTCTCCTAATTCTACTTTTACAATGATGCTATAGATCATTCCAGGTTAAAAAAAAAAAAGCCAGAAGTTACTGTTAACTTGCAATGTTTTTTCTTTTTTCTTTTCAGAGAAGATGTCAACATATCAGGGCAAAAAAGTACAAATGATCAATAATCCTTTTGCAATCGACAGCTACCTGGTCTGAGGATCAATGGAAATCTCTTGTCCACAGGCAGGAATCTCACCAATAACAATTCCTTTGCTTGTTCTGTAATTGAAAGACTGACTGATTACAGGAAGAGTTTATAGTGTATGCTAACTTCAATCAACTGCACACAAAAAGCCTGCAATCCTCAATACCATGTATAGGAACAAAATGTATGAGGGAAATAGAAAAGACGAGCTCTGCTCATTAATAGGCCCTGTTCAGCCTGGGATAAGTGTATGACTGATTTATAAAATCAATTAAATCCAGAGTAATCAAGAAGCTAGCAGCATATTTCAGCAGCAGAATTCAAAGCCAAACTTATATTTCCTGTAAGGCAAATAATGAATGAAGAGACTCAGAAAATCAGTTAGTTGAGGTCAAGCAAAACAAGATTTCTCAAGTTTTTCAGGAAAAATGTTTTGTGTTGATCTAAAAATATTTCATTCACGCTAAAGTGATATCTCTTCTTAGCTTTAGGATTTGCTTCTTTTGTTTAACTTTAGCCTGTGATGCTAATTTCAGTCATTTTAAATGACCTAGGGTAATTTAAAATGAAAAACACTGCTTTGAAATGAAGTTTTAATGTCTTAGTTTTAGAACCTTGAAATCAAAATAGTTTTGTATACCCAAAATAAAGAGTTTCTGGACATCTGAAATGAAACGTTTCATCTGGATGATCTCCAGAGGTCCCTTCCAACCTCAACCCTTCTGTGATTCTGTGATCTCAATGTCCTACAAACAAGCTAAGCTGACATTTCCAAAATCCTCCTATCCCTATTTTTAATATAAACAATTCACAGAATCACAGAATCGTTTAGGTTGGAAGGGACCTCTGGAGATCATCTAGTCCAACCTCCCTGCTCAAGCAGGGACCTCTAGAGCATATTGCCCAGGATCACATCCAGATGGGTTTTGAATATCTCCAGGGAAGGAGACTCCACTACCTCTCTGGGCAACCTGTTCCAGTGCTCTGTCACCCTCACAGTGAAGAAGTTTTTCCTCAGGTTCAGATGGAACTTCCTGTGGTTCAGTTTCTGCCCGTTGCCTCTTGTCCTGTTGCTGGGCACCACGGAGAAGAGGCTGGCCTCATCCTCTTGACACTCCCCCTTCAGATATTTGTACACGTTGATGAGATCGCCTCTCAATCTTCTCTTCTCCAGGCTGAACAGGCCCAGCTCTTGCAGTCTTTCTTCATAGGAGAGGTGCTCCAGTCCTCTAATCATCTTTGTAGCCCTAATTCACTAAATTTGATCAGAATGTGTGACTAAATTAAGTCTCCCACCTCCTCCATTCCTGTTTTAGCTTTGTATATTGTTGAATTTGTTTTCATCAAAATTGCTTTGTCTCATTCCAATTTCAAGCCTCTTTCTTACAGCAGGAGTGACAAGAAGAAAAACGATAGCTTTGTCTCAGAATATTTCAAATAGCTTAAATAATTTTAAATTGATTAAATCCATGTTATTTTGTAAACACACCCCAACTTTTACAAAAAGGCTATGGTTTTAGTCTCAGTTAAGAAAATAATTCTACAGATGCAGATTCTTCTTATTCTGTTTGTCCTAAGCCACTTTTTTCAAAAGTTCGGCAATTCACATAAATGCTTTATCATAACAGATATTATCAGCACAAGGTTCAAGAAAAGCAGTACATTTTTTATATTTCAAACCAGGTTTTACTTTCAGCTCCTAAAGACATGGCAGCACACATCCGCTGTGGGTGCCCTGGGAGCACAGCTGGCACGAATTCCCCGCTGAGCGGCCTCTGCTGTTCTCACTGCTATTCTCAGGAAACCCAGCAGGAACCAGAGGCTTGAAAGACTCAGGTAGTCGGCTTGCACAAAATTAAATAATGTCACAATATCATACGGGCATAGCTGCAATACCATAGCATTGCAGGATGACTCCAAATGGGACATGCTATTTTATTGAATCTCTAGCCAGATCTGAAGACAAGACCAGGAACTGCAAATAAACCTAAACTTTTAGCTCAAGCCAATATCTGTGGGCATGTGGATTTTTTAATCTGTCATCCAGCATCTGTTCCTTGACCAAACCTGTGAGTCAGTTTCTGCTCAGTTACACCAGTCTCAAGTCAAAATAAATTTTTTCCAGTTCTTTGCCACTGTAATATAGCAGAAGTTATTCAACTTAAAAAAAAAAAAAAAAAGTGAATGCTAAACTGAAGTCCAACCTGGAAGCTGTGTGGCTTAACAAGAAATAATTTGTAAGAAATGTGGAAACCCAGCCCCCACGGAGTAACTTTCAGACTGTGACCAGCCGCAGTTAGCCCTGCCTGCTCGAGGCAGAGCTGATGTGCTGAGCCAGGGGCTCCGGCTCAGCGCACCGTCACATCGTAAGAGCAGACATCTCAAGATTTTGTTTCCATGAAGCATAAGCTACTGTACTAACCTGCTACTGTAACTGAAAGGGTTTTTTCTTTTTTCTGAGCTTGGCAAACCAGGTAATTTTCCAAATGTGAAAAGGAAGGTATATTATTTATTGGGATTATAATTTTCCCTCATATTTTAGACAATAAACTGTGAAGTTTATTTCACAGAAAAGTGATATATGGGAATAATTTGCCTGTATTCCCTAGGTGTCTGTTACCCAGTTCAGTAGCACTGCAGTTCATTAGCAGCATTTGCTAACAGATAAACTAAAGCTGTAATGTGATACTTGTAAGTAATTGTGTATGTGTACATGTGTAAGTGAATAAACCATCTTGTAAGGTATCTGTTAATTGATTTGCTTCCTTTAGTACCATTTTAATTAAGACATGGAACAGAAGAGAGCATGTGGTCAGAGAGGGAAGCTATTACCTTCACTTACTTGCGTGAACAAATATTTCTTTCACATTATTTCAGTACACTACAGGAAATAAAGATGAAAATAAATAAAAAATGGTAAGTTCCAAGCAGTGGAGGGGCAAGACCTGGAGAATTAAAGTTAATAATATTGATCAGGCAAATGCAGTAGGCTGCGGAATAGATTATGAGGTCCCAAAACCTTTATCTGTGTGCCATGGCTCCACGGGTAAGGGAAAAGGACGGGCAGAGATGAAACACAGAGCTGGGGGCAGGGGGCCTGCAGCATCTGTGCTGCTGCTTTTGCGGCCACTGAGAGGTCTGGGCATGCTAGGCAATTGCCAGTTCTGCAAGGGGCTGCTGCGCCAGCAGCAATTAGTGCCCCATAAAGCCTAACCCACAACTGCACAACTGTAGCTGTCAGCCTGGCCCTGCACAGACAAAACATGCCACAGCCGTTTTGCCACCCCACAAAAGTGCCAGTTTTGCCTGCTCTGACAACTGGCTTTATTAGCACCACTTGCAGCATCAGCAGCTCTTGGCTTTGGGCCAAGCCCCACAGCGCTGCTTGGAGATAATTGGTGGTGGAAAACTAGATAAAAGGGGAGCATTTTGGAGGCAGTCAGTCAGAAGAGAAAAGACATTGTTGGAGGGCTCCATTAATTCTTTATGGAGGATACAGCGTGGGCGATCCACAGTCAGCATCCAGGACAGCTCTGCGCTCGCCTATTTGTCCTGTCCAACACAGGCTACCTCTGCCCGGCTTCCCAGCAGGGCCGGGGACCCTCAGCAAATCAGGGCTAACTGCTGGAATCACACAGTTGGCTCGGTGCTTACTCACATGGGGATAAATCAGGCAAAATCCCACCGACCTCCATGGAACTGCATGGGTGGAAAAGCAGTCTCTGTGGGAGGACAAGCACGTTTTGCAAATCAGACCTCGCTGATAAGTCTGCTCTGAGAGGTGCAAGTGAAACGAGTCTGGTTCAGCTCCTCCCAGATAGAAAGGATGGCAAATTTCATAACAGTCGAAACATTCTCAGCCTGAATCTTCCTTAGCTTTCTCTTGTCCATAAGAGAAGAATCAGTTCACTTTATTCAAGAGCATTATTTTTCATTTTCTTACAACTACATTTAAACAAATGCAAGAGAAAAAGACCAAAAAAATGCTTTCATTCACCAGCCAAAGATGGGAAATCAGAACCAAAGGAAAATGCATACCTAACAAACCTGGTAACAAAGGGATGTTTATATTCACCTACAAAGAGAAATATAAAGGGACTGTGAAATAAACAAACATCAAATAAGTATAATACTGTATGAACACCAGCCTCGAAATACAAAGTGCCTGTAATTGCAAAAGGAACAAACAGGACCTGTGGAGATGCCAGACTTTTGAAAATTGCATTCATTACACACATACATACAGTGGACATAGAAGAGCCAAGTTAGGACAGTCTAAAAGTCCTTCTGCTCCAACAGCCATTTTGCAACAGCAGCTAATAGCAAACATCTAGAGGAAATCCAGGAACATTTCAAGCACATGCTGATACATCCCCAGAAGACCCTACTGGCCTCCAGCAGACTTCTGCCTAGCACCACTAACCAAAAGTGGTGCTGTTGAATTTAATAGCTTTTGATAGCTTTTAGATAGCTTTTCTTCCATAAACAGAAAATAAGGAATTGATTCCATAGATATTATATATTTATACTTAAAAAACCCACAAGGGCCTTTGCCCTCCCTGGCGCTATGAATTTGCATGGTCCCTACTACCACAGTATGAGAGCAATTTACATACTCCTGAGTGGTAGAAAATGTCCACATTTTATAGAGAGGGGAAACGAGATATGGAGCAGCCAAAGGGCTGTCCCAAAGGCCATAAAGGAAATCTTTAACAGAGCAGATAATACTGACAATGTTTTCCAAATCCAACGTGGAGGACTTTATTGTTATTATTACATTATCATTCTTTAATGCTACCTCCAAAAAAAATGCTGCCTTCGAAATGGTTAGGTGTTCCATATTTCACCTTATTGAACACATATGCTCTTTATTGTCATATTTCAGCTTTTAAACTCTAAACGAACCCTGTACTTTCGCTCGCAACTAGAACAAGCAGGAGTCTCAGCAAAGTCAGTGACATTACACTGGGGTTGACCACTCTGCGGAAGAATAAGTCCCAAACGCTTCACAGGCAAATGGGCGCTGTGCACAGATTCTGTCCTCTCCTCTCCATTCAATTAAAAAATACCTTCCCTCCTACAAGCCACACAGCACTCATAGGAGGCTGGTGAGGTTTCAACTGTATCCCTCACGCCACAGCTGACTGGGGTCTGTCCTGATTCAGGAAATTCACAAGGCCTTTCACTTTATAGATTACGTTCCACTTACTGCTATCAGAAATCCTCCTGAGTCAATGGGCAACTAAAATAATTACCTTTAACCATACTCTTCAATTACTCCACAATACGGAGAGAACACTCACAGGACTGGGACCAGATGTGAACACATTCTGTTGTGACTAAAACTGGATCAGATGTTCCAGTGAATATAAAACACTGAGCATTCACCTCATTTGGGAACAACCCTGGTATTTTTTACACTGCTCAATTTTTAAACTCATCAGAGTATTGCAAGGCAACAAATGAAAACCTGTGGAGAATGTACAAAAGCTCATGTAGGGCTCTCCTTGAAAGAACTGCCTCCTTGAAATTGATATAAAAAACACAAAAAGGCTGCTTCAAGGACAGGCTGCTGCGTGCTGGCAGGGTGAGAGGCACCAACAGCAACCAGCCAAGCTGGGGCCCACAGCTGGGCGAGCTGCTTGGCCAACCTGGCCCTCACACACCACATACCTCCGACAGCTCACCGCCACTGGGACCCTGCTACTTGCCCAGGTCTCTCTTTGGGAGATAATTAGCATCTTTTATCCTGCGGGAGAGCCCCAGACCTCAGGTCTCTAAGGTTACAGGTTTCCAGCAGTTTCCCCTGGGGCTGTCCCTGCAGGAGGTCACTGCCCCTCTCCTGCCAGTGGGCCCAAAGCAGAGCAGGAGCGACTCTTGGGGTGCCTTAAGGGGTCCTGGAACAAGGAGTTGATTTTGCATGTTCGGAACGGGTTTGGGGTAGAGGCAGGAATGTAGAGGGGACAAGGGACTTGGCTTGGGGATGCCGGGATAATTGCTTTTTCAAACAAACAAACTGATGATATAAAGGAGAACTAAATACAAAAAAAAGAACTAACTGATGCTGGGGAAGGGAAAAAGGGGAAAAAGACAGGATATGTGAGCTTATAGTCTCCTCAAATCAGTGCTTTAGCTGAGCCTGGAAAAACAGAGAAAGTAGAGTGCTGCGCAAAGTACTGCCAACAATCATTATTTAATCTGAAGTTTTGTACCAATTGATGCTTTACTTGAGACACTAGGTCTTCAAATCATGTAGCTGTAGAACCCCCACTTTAATTTAAAATACTGCTTGTCCTTGAGACTACAGAATAGTTAGAAGCTCTGTCTCTGCCGCATCATAAAGGCTCAGAAACCAGGAAGTCAATAACAATAACTGAAAAAAAAAATTTTTTAATGTGAGGATTATTTTGGGCCTGCTTATGGATTTTGAATGCCAATATTGCAAGCACAAGCTCAGTAAACAATAGGACCATCTCTGCTTACTCCTAGAGAGGCAGTGTCTTTCCCGTGACTGACACCAAGCCCAAGCAGTTAACACCTTACAAAGGGCACAGATTTAGCCCTGCATCTCCTCTCAAAATCACTCCAAGATGCAAGTCAAGAAAAACCCACTGTCAGTACTGTTGTATATTGCTGGGGATTCATGCACAAATGCTCTCCACTGGAGATAGGCAGAGGTGAGTTAGGGGTGTATGGTAGATGAAAAGTATAAATTGACTTGTAAATGCAAATGTCATGTATATACCCAAATATGAGGTGGTACCAATAGTAATAAGTTTGTCCATCCCCTTTTCCATTTTCCCCCACTATATTCTGAGACCTGTCTTAAACTTAGCTGACAAGATTGTTGCCTCAATCCTGCATCCTCTTACAGAAATGATTTCTATGTTGGGTTTCCCTGAGTACTATCGCTGTCATCCAACTACCCCTGCAGCGTATGAATAAATAATTTAGATCAAATTCAAAACATTTTACAAATACTGTTAATGGGACAATAACTGAAATTGAGTTCCTGTTAACACAAACTCCTGCATAGAAGGGGATGCAAATGGGAAAATTTTCTCAAGCCTAAATGATGTAACATTGACAAAGCCAATAAACTAGTGTGTTTTAATTCATTTTGACCACCTACCAGGCTTTTGAAGCAAGATAATGAAAGCAAGTAGCATTATACCCAGAGCTCAAACATTAAGACCACAATTTTAAACCCGTGACCTATGCTTGTCATGAGTCAGACTGAAAGACTGTCAGCTTAGATACTTACAAACTGTGGGGAAAAGCTTTAAATCTGGATCTAAATGAGGAATATTATATTTTGCACTAAAGAACCCGCCTCTGCTTTTAAGACTATAAATAATCAAGTTTCCCAACTGGGATGAGCAGCTTTTTGCTCCTACTGTAAAAATGCTTGTGAAGAACCCATGCTCTCTGTATCTAAACATGTATTTGTCTGTCACAAACTAAGACAACACAAGGCCTGCAGCCTCCGAGTCCCTTTAGAGCCCGGCAACCAAGCCAGGAGCTGGTGGAGATGTCTGTACATCAAAGGCTATGTCCACACTGTCTATGGTTCAGAGGAGGTGAGAGGGGTTTGTGCCTATTCTTCATGTGCTGCACATCGTCCTCCAGCTCAGGGAAGGAGTGACAGTCCCCAGAGGCCCCTTAGCTACGCTACGTTGCAGGGGTTAGACATGCTTCGTATTCAGAGCCATGCACAGCTACAACTGATTTTAATTCTTCCATTGAGTTTAATGAAAACAAGATCAAGCCATGGCTGGACCTTCTGTGTGAGCCATAAATGCCTTTCCTTGACTAAAGAAAAACCAAAAATTAATCACATGCTCTTGATTACTCAGTAACTGAAAATCTGTCACTGACCTAGAGGCATGTGGCCTTTTCAGGCATCTTTCCCAGGAAGATGATGCTATTGATCTGAAATGGATAGAGGCTCAGGGAGTACAGGGGAAAGGACCTAATGGTGGGCTGCTGCTGCTGGATGTCTTCCTCACAGGGAACCACACATGGGTCAGGGTGAGTCCAAAAGCA